AACCCCCCCCCAAAAAAAAAAAAAAAAAAAAAAATTACAGTAACACCAGAAACTTAAAAAAAACCAACCCTACTATGTTCACCAACACCCACTCCCAGCTGGAATAGAATCTCTGAGCCTCATTGTTCTGCTTTAAAGTCTCTTCAGGTGAGAACAGCCAAGGTGAGAATCCCAGCCTAGGCTCTCACTAGCTGTGGGACCTCAAGCTAGTGTTCTGTCCCTTCTGAATCCAAATTTCCTTACCTGAAAGATGGTGTGAAGATTCTAACAACCTCATAGGATTGCTGTGATGTTTAAGTGTGGTACTATAGGATAATATGGGCTAGAGGTAGTCCATAACCGACCTGAGCAGGTCATCCATCCTGGGCTTTGCTGTCCCTCTGAGCACAACAGGCCACATTCGGCGAGTATGTGCAGCCGAGGCCAGCAGAAGGGCCCGGCAGGGCACAGGCTCCACCTTCTGGGCAACTTGCACTAGTTTTCTAAGGCACGAGGAGTTCATCACGACAGGGGCTTTTTCATCTGCCTTTCCTCCCTGCTTAAAGACCAAGCCGCCCGCCATCGCCATCTTTCCTTCTCCCATCTGGCGTGGGAGCGTGTGTGCCATGCATATCCGGGGATGCCCGAGTCTGAGCAGGTGGGCCACTGCCACCGGCAGGGGCGAGGGCATGCAAACCTGCAAGCCCCGAGTACTGCGCTGACAGGCACCTGCATTTGCACTGGTCGTGCTCACCCGGAGGTCCACGGACTTGTGACAGATTTCAGGAGCTGATCCTTCTGTAGCTATCTACGAGGCACACGTCTGCATTTATTCAGAATCACCCAGCACAGGGACGCCAGGGTCACTCAGCGTCACCACCAGAAAGGACGGGTGCTGGGAGTGGGCGGAGGCTGCTGCAGGGAAAGGCCTGGGCTTTCTCCGCTGGCCTTGCTTGCCACTGGCTTGCAGGACTCAGGGTCTCCAGCGGTGTCAGGGGCGAGTGAAGGGGTGGAGAGCCCCAGCAAGGGGGAGGCGCTCGGAAATGAACAGTGAACGAGAGAGTGAATGGGCGCAGTGAATGTGTGGGGACCGCTTCAGTACGGCAAACAAGGTGACGCCGTAGGGTCGGTCCTGAGGGCGGCAGTGGGAGCTCCCGGGTTGGGGGAAAGAACTCGCGACCCTTGAACCCATGCTCCTGGGATAGAAAAAGAGAGCAAGGGGGAAACAACGGCGGAAGCTGTTGGGTGGAGAAGAGCAGAGGAGACGGTGCGCAGCCGGACAGGGGCGGGGAACGACCGAGCGGGGACTCCCAGACGCCACTCCCGAAGCCGTGCAAACGGGGGGGCGCGGGGGCGCTGGACGACGCCCCAGCCGGAGGCCTGCGCCCTGGCCCGGGCTCCCGGCCTT